TTTATACAGTATATTCCATTATTAAATAACTGCATGACCAAATGCGCTCGAATTTCGACAGACTATCTGTGAACGTACGAGAATCAACCCACACGACACAGAATATGATCGAAAATTGGTTGTCATTACCCCATCAAAAATATAGCTCTCATCAGATAATTCGAAGGGATGAATGTTATTAGGTCAGTGAAGCTCTTCTGCTTTGTCCGCCTCGGTGAATAGAGTGATCGGCTGCTGACCCGGAGTTCGCGGGTTTGATCCCGGCCTGTGGGGTTGTATTTTGATGAAGGCGGAATAGTAGAGGGAACGTGTACTGTGTGATGTGAGTGCACGTAAGAGAACATTGGATGGTCGAAATTTTCAGTGCCCTTCACTACGTCGTGTCTTGTACCATATCGTAGTGTTGGAACGTCAAACTCCAGATATTATTATTAGTAATATTGAATCACACCCTATAAGACACCGCTGAAAGTCGCTATGGAGAGCATTGCACAAACACCACTGTATGCCATGCTTTTCAAGCAAAACTGCATCGTCAGTTTATGCTGATAAAATGCTTAAAAGGGCAGCCAAACTGCGACTCTTGAACAATCCAGAAGGCACCCGTTAGACGCCCCGTTGTGGACTTCATGATCCGATTTTAAGTGGCGAGCCTAAATAAAAGGTTAAGGTGTTAAAGTGCTGATGCTGGACAATGATTGATTCTTGTTTCGGGACGAATCAGCACCAATTCACATGAAGCCAAATGAAGCGGAAAGTACGAAGATTAGACAAGTTTGTGTACTACCACCATTCTCAATGCCGGAAGCAACGTTTGTTGTAGCTTCTATGACACTAACGCCAGAATTCTATCTACTGAATTTATGATCACAACCCTACGCATAAAAATAACTGGAACGTCTGACCGAGTAAACTTGGGACCAAAATTGGCTGCCTATGTCCTCTTCCTCACCCCCACCCCACCTTATGTATGCCCCAGGCACGTCATCCTACGTGATCCTGCGTGCAGTTGCGATCCTTGAAAAATCTCCGGAAAATTGCTGTAAGTGGCAGAGGTGATGGGCAGGGGTCTTTAATAACTTTGTCGCGGTGCTTGCCCGTGACCGCTCGCCCTGCCCGAGCGTCTACAAGAGCTGAACGCACTAGCCGATTCAAGCCATTTCACCCCGTTCCTAGCTATGCCAACGTCACCAGCCCAAGCCCAGTGCTGCTTCCAGGACTTTCCTGTGCTGAACACTACGACCGCGGGACTTGGTCGTCAAGGAAGGAGTGGGATGTGAGATGTCAGCCATCCCACTGTGGCCGTCTTCCGTGTCTCTGGACAGATGGCAGCACCCGCAGCCACTACGCCTGCCGTTCGTCCTCGACTAACCAGAGAGCGCCCAGTGTCAGACGCCAATAGGGTTACTCGATGCGCCCCCCCCCCACCCCTCCGCCAGGGGCGCGCGCATCGAGGAACCCCAGACGCTAGCAGACACTGTCGACGACTACACGCGTGGCCCGCGTTGCCAGCTGCTGGGACACTTCGTTGTGTTTGCGGGAGCATCGCCCTGTGTCGCCACAGTGTTTCTAGTCTGCCGTTCATTAAACATGTGACTAGTGTCCGTGTGTCTTCAGCCTTTCGCCACGAGCCTCGCAGTGGTATGGAACTTACAGGTAAAAAAATGTGGAAATATCATCACCTGGAACACCTTAGTGCACGAACTTGATCTGGGCTGTGCGAATGACTCTAACGTTGCACTGAGAAAAAATACTGAAAGAAACATCAATGATCCTAACTGAATGATCCTCAAACATAAATATTATGTCGTGAGAGCTTTAACAATTAAACGTATTATTGAAACGTTTGCGCAGTCGTAGGCCAACTGAACTTCTGACGAAATTACTTGTAGCAAAAAGGGCAAAAAATTGTGAAGGTAGAGACCATCTGGCATGAGTACTTACGCGCTGTTCCTAAAACATATAAACGGAGCTTCCTAAAAATGAGTTTTGCCTTTGGAATACAATTATCTTATCTCTCGGACAAGACAAGGCTAGCAACATTTTTGAGTGGCTTGTCACTTGACCCACCTTCAAACTATTTCTCATACATAATTAACGGGGGTAGTGGTTATTTCTATTGATATGATAAAATAGGAGAGGTTGGACACATCACGGTGGCAAAGGGCAAAGGCTACTTACTCTTTCTCGCTTAGCAGAGAAAACATGTTGTAAGGAAAATAAAACACAAAACTCCATACAGTAGATCATACGATGGGAAAGTACAGCATAGCCGAACTTCACATGACAGTTCAGATAAGCCTAATAGGTTCATATGTACACGAGTGCTGTATCACAAAATCCAATACGAAAGGTCATTTCATACTGAGACAAATTAGTTGCAGTACTGCGCTGCTTTGAAACATGTTTTCGTATGCACTGTTTGCAAAGAGAACTGAAATAGCAAGCTCGGGCATTTTTGGTCTCCCAAGATTGCCTTTGCCTCTGGCAACACGGGTCTTCTGTTACAGTATCTTGAAGAAATCGACAACCGGACTTCTCAGATTTTTTTCTTTATTAATTTCCGCCAAGATATCATGCTTTGTCTTACCGCTCCGCTGACCCGAGCTGTCTATCAACAGTCTTTCGAACGAAAATAGCAAGCAGAAGGTCAGTACTCAAAAAGACATCGGAAAGAAAATATGGGGAGTTTTGTAGTTTCAAGGATCGACCTGAGGAGCAATCAGTGTACTCAAACATTATGGAAGATAATGATGATAATCAATAAAATAATATGCTTCTAGTTAATGCTCTGGTTCTTGTTTTTTGTGTGTAGAAAAGTTTGAGGTAGCATTGTTGACCTTACGGAAATATGAGCGACAAGTTTTCCGCTGTTCGCAAAGAGAACTTAAAAAAAAAAAGCAAGCTCAGCCCCTTTTTGTTTCCGAAGATTACCCTTGCCTTGAGCGTTAGTTCAAGCAACGAATTTTGAGCTTTCCATGCGTTGCCATACTGACCAGTCTTCGTCATGAGCAATGTAAGTATCGAATATTATTTAGAAGCGTTGGTTGAGAGGCCAGGTCAGAACATTCCTTGTTTTGCACTACTTCTTTAAAATATCGTTTTTTTTCATGTAGAAATAAGGGCATGCAAACGTTAATACTGAGTTCAGGACAATATTTAACCACTGTTTAAAAGAATAAAAGTCTACACTAATTTAAGTGTTCTTTTTTTTTGTTCATAATGACTAGCCACACAGTGTAGAGAAGCTACTTGAAGCACTTATATTTTCAAATAGTGACTATGTTATTGAAGACCGAATTTAAGATAAACATAATAAATTTGAGCCACCAGCCTTATGAAAGTCGGTAATGCTTTGTTAGCATTTGGTAGCAACGGTATTGCACTGCCAAGCGCGAAGACTCGGGTTCGACCTCCGACCATAGCGGCGACGTTGCGATTGGAATCGTCGAGCAAGAGAAGTCGTCTATACTTAGGTTCACGGGCACTAAATTAAATGCAGGTGGTAATATTCTTGTTGTGTGAGGGCGTATTGTATGTGTCATCTGTGAATTGGATTTGGACGCTGTGGAGTTGCTTTATGGTGTATCCAAATGTTCATAGGAGGCCGTACTCTTGGCACAAATCTGATCGAATTCCCGTAATGCGTAACCCGTGATAATATGCATTATAGGTGGAACGGTCAGAAATGTTGCCACGGCGACTTCATCACTGTATAGAATGGTGAATCACGTAACAAAAATAAACTTTTGTAACATTTACTTTGTTGTTACTCAAAGAGAGGGGTCGTTTGGAATGTATTATTTAGGTGTGTGGTTTCGTTGCTTGTCGCTATACAAGACCGTCCTGTGGGTATAAGTGCTTGTGCTTGCTCGTAGCGTACAAGAACCCATTACTTAGTCATGGTTTATAGCGCACTTACATAAAGAAAAAAAAGCATGTGCGAAATATTTTAGAGTACTGAAGCAAACAGACTCAACGCACGGCATATACAAATAATGTGATATAGCATTTATTGTTTTTTTTGCATGGCCGTTCATTTACTAAATTTAAATTAGAGGAAATGTGTGGCGATGTCTACTGCTGTTCTCTTACGCAATAGTTGCCGTCGCAATGTGTTGGACATGCACGAATTTATACAAACACATCGATCAGACATTTGGTCAAATACAAAAAAAAAGTCCACACGATGGCAAAGTTCACAAAACACAAATATTAATGCAAACATTATTTTCACACATAACGTGCATATTGGCTAAGATGTAAGAACGGCAGATCATTTGTAACTCTTGTTTCATTAGCACATTGCAAAGTAGCCAATAACTTACGGAACATAAGTTATTGGCTAATTATTGTGAGAATAGCAATCGTTACCAGGGGTACATGATATGCGACATGGTTTTAATTTAAGCATATGTCAAAAGAGGGGGGGGGGGCGCAATATAACATGATTAGAGGTCTTTCACTTTTCTAGTGTAATATATAACAGATTGATACATGGTCCTTGGCGAATGGTTCGAGTTTCGGTCACCAATAATCTGCAATTCACGAGTGACTCATTTTCTGAAGTTCCTTGTCTTTAATTACCAACAAACAACGCTCAGACATTCGGAATGAACACGAAAACGCAATCCCAATATTCGTCAAGGCCTCAAGCGGTGTGGTTTATTTCGCACCCGTAAAAAAAAAAAAAAAAACGTGTCCACAAACATGCGAGCTGTCGAAAACGCGGGAATACATTGCGATCAACACCAGCTGTTCCATGTGAATACGAATCCGGAAATAACTCTTCAAGAACAACGCCCGCTGTGACAGCGCGTGCAGAAGAAAATTTAAATGAACAGGCGGCAACGAACAAAACAAGACGCGCAGGATTCAGTTGCCCTCGGCAACGACAGCGTCGCTATGACGTCAAAGCCACGCCTTCCAGGGCCTCGTCGGTGATTGGCAGTGCTCCAGGGGTATAAAAGGCAGACGCTGGCGCCGTCGGCTCACTCGGCAGCTGTTGTCGACCGGTCTTGCTCATCGCATCAAGGTGCGCTGCTTCATTTTCGCTTTTGCGTTGGTTTTTGCAGGGAACCCCTGGAGATCAGATTTATATCAATTTTACTTCCGTGTGCTTTCATCAGAATGCGATAAGCGTTACCAAGCTTCGGAAGATAAGTGATCTAGACTCCATATATATCCATCTATATGATTGTATCTTAGTGCATGCTATCGTGTGTTGCTGCTTGCTCGACAAAGTTGCTCAGACGAGTAATATTCATATCTCTGTAATCTCTTCTCGGGGAGTGCTTAAATGTTATAGCCTTACAGAGCCAGCGCTTAATTATGGCAGATCTAAAAAGATTACAGCCGATTCTCGAAGGCCATGGTGCCTAGATCGTTTTACCGCTTTAGCCAATCACCTGATTAGCGTATAGATTAGACTGACAGGCGTGCTAGAGAAGAGATATACACTTTGTAACTCGCAACCATCACTGCATGAAATGTGCGTTAGCTGTAAGGGTAGTACTGAGTATTTCTTTAAAGGAGTTCCGTCCCGCGTGTTAGGCTACACGCGTGATTTTTTTAAGCTTAGTCGCTTTGTTAAGGATGACGCATCCAAGATGTCCGCTACGTTCCGAGAAGCTCTTCCTTCGCCTGACTCGAATTATTTCGAGAAATATGTTTCGCTTGCCCGGAAAGTGTTTGCGCTGAGATCGCCAAGCAGTTTGCGAGGTATCTTTTAGTCACAAAATTGGTAAAACTCGGTACGTTAACCTTATTTTGACATAGTGCTTGTCAGTACTACAGTGTTATTACTCGGTGAATTCTTTGTCATGCTACGTCCTAAGCAAATTACTTGAAGGGCATGTCACCGCTGACAATAACTTCTCAGCACACGACTTTGGTGAGAGCTAAAACGTTTGCCAGTTCGGCGAACCTTTACTTGTTCAGGTCGGCAATTTCGATTTGATTTGTTTGAATTTCACGACATTGCGATGCTAATTTTTCAGTGTATTCTGTCTGGTCTCAGAGGTACCCGAATCGAGCACACGTTAATTTCCCGAAATAAAGAACTTCACAAATTACACCTATAACACTTTTTACGTTTCTCGTTACTGTTCACTAAGTGCGTCCGGTATCACGTAGGATGTTCACCTTGGTCATCTTTTAATGACACTCTGACCCAACGACTCCGTGAACTTAATTCCGACGCACTTGATGACTGTCAGAGTGTTGTCCCCAGACGCATTTGGTTTCATTTAAGGCGTTCGCTGTCCCCACGCATCATAAAGTCATAATCGCGTCTCAGCAGTTCCGTTTTCGTCGCCTTCTGCGAAAGTGCGGTTGCCTAGGCAACGGAGAAAAACCCCATCATTGACATTTCGCTGAAGAAGGGAACCTTGAACGACATTAACAATCGTTGAGGTTTAGAATCCAATAACCACGATATGATTACGAGAGAACACCGTAGTGGAGGGCTCCAGAATTTTCGACCATTTGGGGTTCTTTAAGTGAGTCTAATTACACGGGACTCAAGCATTCCCGGGTCCATCGAAAATGCGGCCGCTGCAGCCGGGAACCTTCCTGATAAATCGATCGATCCGTTTCGCCGGTGCGGATAGTTCGGTGACCCTCGGTAACCATAAAAGTTTGTACCGAAGCATTCGCTTCCTCGAACACTTGAGAGGTTTCTTTGAACGGTTGGCATCGCTATTTTTTTGTAAATAATGAGACGGGATATCATTACCTAGAATTCGCTGTTGCGATGCTTAAGCTCCAGTCTTGTGATATTTCTCAATTCTGTTATAAGTAGTATAACTATTTTAGTTATGAAATTAAGGACACATTTTTTTATTTCTAACAATTTCGTGGTTATGGCACTCGACCGCCGAAGCGCAGATCGTGTCACCGAATTTCGGCCGCCTGTTAAATGGATTGATTGATTGATTGATTTGTGGGGTTTCACGTTCCAAAACCACCATATGATTATGAGCGACGCCGTAGTAGAGGTCTCTGGAAATTTTGACCACCTGGGGTTCTTTAACGTGCACCCAAATCTGAGAACACGGGCCTACAACATTTCCGCCTCCAGCGGAAATGCAGCCGCCGCAGTCGGGACTCGAACGCGCGACCTGCTGGTCAGCAGCCGAGTACCTTATCCACTAGACCACCGTGGTGGGGCCGCCTGTTAAATGGAGGCGAAAATTATTGACACACGTGTTTTTGGATTTAGGTGCACGCTATAGAGTACCCCACGTTGTCGTCCGCCGCGGTGGATCAGCGGCTCCGAGGCTCTGCTGCTGACCCGCACGTCGTGGGTTCGATTACAGCCGCGTTTTAGTGGAGGAGAAATCTCGGAGGCCAGTGCGATGTCAGAGCAGGTTAGAGAACACCAGGTGGTCGAAATTTCGGGAGCTCTCGACTATATATGGCGTCTCTTGGAATTCCATGGTGTTTTCGGAACGCAGAGCCCCAGATATTATTATGAGCCCCGTATGGTCGAAATTTCTGGATCCCTCCATTAGGTGTTTCTCAAAAATATATTGCGGTTTTGGGACGTCGAACCCTATAAATAACTATTTTATATTAATATTATTAACATTTGGAAATATTATTACTATTCTGGTTAGTAAATCGGGGATTTGTGTGTTTAGGAAAAGTGGTAAACGATTTAGACTACTTGGTACTCTACTATGGGAAGGGGGAAAGCCTTCCCATGGCCTCTCTCTTGATGAGGCTTGAGAGGCTGCCAGTGATAACCGTGCGCGTTCAGAAAAATTTTTGAATGATTTTGAGTACCTCGTATACCATGGCAGTACCATGGTAGAGCTGAAAGCCGTCCCTTGGGTCTGCACCTAAACACACAAGAAGAGTTTAGAAAAAGTGGGTAACGACGTAGAGTATACCAGGTACTCTACTGTGAGAGAGCTGAAAGCCGTTCCATGGGCCTCAAACCATGCAGATAGAAGTAGAAGCTGACTACACAGAAATTATGACCAGTTTAGAAAAAAGTTTATTTACGCTATGTACAAAAAACTAAAGTTTCACACCATTCCAGTTATGGGCACATACACTTCGGCAGATCTATGTACCACGAGCAACATCGCTATGTTGAAAGGAAGACAGCATTGCTCTAATATACATGACAATGTTGGCATACGTGTACACAAGAACTCATGCGAAATCATGACGCAATGAATAGTATACCGATTGCGTTTAGAAAAAGTGGGTGTAACGATTTAGAGTACTGGGTACTCTACTATGGGAGAGCTGAAGGCGTCCCCGTGAGAAATCAATGGCAACACATTCATGTTTAGAAAAACTTTATTCTTTCATGGGACGCAACAAACCTAAGAGACAAGCGTCTGTATAACAGGCACTATAACAAACAAAAGGCAAAGCACAACATACACTACACATTTAAACTAAAGTGTCCAAGTCCGTAGGATGTCCATAGTCCGTTGTACTAATAACTGTACATATACTACGCAAATGCACTAATCACAATATGGACAATGTACATGATCATACTAACGCAACTTTCACATTTACGTGGATGCTACGCTCCCGGAAAACCCGGCGCCGACAATCTGAAGGAAATCCGGCGCTCAAAGGCGGGCCGGTGACGTGCGCGATGGAACGCACCGTTTTTCGTTAATTGCCGCTTTCCCGTCCCTGCGCTTGTTGGCAGTCGGTCGTCTCTGACGCGACAGAGCTGATCTTTTTATAGACCTGACTTTGCTCTACATCACGTTCACGCTCATCGTTGTTTGTTTGGATGCCAAAGTAGGCCAACCATTGCCGGCTGTAGCATCTTAAGTGTTTCGATACAAATTACGCGGAAGTAGGTAAGCACTAATAATAAAATTCGTAATAATAATGGACGAAATTTAGCGTCCTAACACCAAGACGTAATTTTTGAGCGTCGCTGTAGTAGACGCATCCAGGAATTTGTCTTTATCTACTGTTCTTTAACATTCACTGCCATCGCAGAGTAAACGGGTGTCATGTAATTCGCCTCAACCGAATCGAAACCGCTGTGACAGGGATCGAATCCACGACCTGGTGAAAAGTTTCTAGCCCACTATCCCACGTATTCCTAAGACAGCGTGGCCTGAAAACTTTTGACGCCTTCCCCCTTCCTATGTACATAGATGTACTAGGCCTTGTATATCTTCCAAGTTAGGAAGAAAATGTCGGCAGACACCGGCTGTGTGGGAGAGAGGATCGTGGAAGAGGCAGATGTCGGTACTTAAGTAGAACGAAAATGTCTAGGGACTTTAGAATGAATGAATGAATGAATGAATGAATGAATGAATGAATGAATGAATGAATGAAGGAACGAACGAACGAACTGTTTTTCACACTGGCATCGTCGGATGTCGCGTTCGTAAAGTCGCTCTCGCGACTGCGGGAACCTGTAGCAGCGATAAATATCTCCTTCTATGTGTCGGTATCTTTTTTAGTGTAGGAAACCGATCTGCTGCTGCCGTTCGCTGTTGTTGCTTGTTGCTACATGAGCACACGCTGGAGATAACGTCGTAATCCTATGCCTCGCACTGGCTTTTTTTTCCGTCCGGACGGAAACGTCCGCGGTTGTCTGCGCCGTAGTTTTGCCATCTGCTAACGTGATACCGATGAAACGCAGTGGGTTGTGAAACTGCTCGGATGCGTCAGTTAGCTGAACCTATTGTAATGGGTTCAAAGTGAAATAAAAAAAAAACGCGAGAAAGACAGGAAAATCACCGAAACAACTAACCCCCCCCCCCCCCCCCCCCAAAAAAAAAGTTCTTGTAGTACTTGGGTGTTATTGTGTTCAGGGTGTATGCAGAAAACGTTTTTTTTTTGGGGGGGGGGGGCAGGAGCGGTCGCCTTTTTGATCTGATGTGGTGGCCAGGGCGCCAAACGCTACTTATGCGCTGTGTATGAATGGCGAAAAAATATTTCGGAATGACGCATGCCCGAATCGCCACCCCTTGGATACGAGTCTGATTTGATTCCCTTTAACGTCACGATACTTGACTCCAGTCCCCGTATCCAGAAGTG